CAGAGAGGAAGGAGTCAAGCTATTTTCCAAAGCACCTGAAGGCCAGACAAGGAATTATAGATGGAAACTGAACAAGGAGAGACTCAACTTAGAAATAAGGAAAAAAATTATGACAGTGAGAACAGTCAACCCATGGAACAGAAGTTGCCTTCAGAAGTTGTGGGAGCTTCATCATCACTGGAGGCTTTCAAGAAGAGACTGGACTGTCCTCTGTTAGAAATGGTGTAGGGTCTCCCGCTTGGTTGGGGGGTTGGACTAGATGACCTACAAGGTCCTTTCCAACTTTATCTGTTATCTGTTAAGCAAATGGAGCTTCTCCATGGTTTGGGGGGTTTTTTGCCTTTTTTCCCACCAGAAATCAGGAAAAATGGAAAATTGAAGGAAAAAAAAACCTCAGGATTACAAGTAGTCCTTAGTTCATTTAATGACCATTCGAAGTTATGACAGCACTGAAAAAGGGACTTAGGACCATTTTTCACACTGATGACCTTTGAAGCCTCCCCATGCTCACGTGATCAAAATTCAGGCGCTTGGGCAACTGATTCACACTTACGACCATTGCTGTGCCCTGAGGTCACGCAATCCCCTTTTGCGACTTTCCGACAAGCAAAAAGTCAACGGGGAAGCCAGATTCACTTAATGTCCATGTCCCTGGCTCATCGACCGCCAGGATTTGTTTAAGAGTGAGCAAGATCGGTCATAAAATGGGACAGAAACTCATGTAACCAGCGTCTCGCTTCACAAACAGACATTCCGGGTTCGATTGTGGTCATATATTTTATTTTATTTAGCCTGCCTGCCCCCAAGAGATTTCTTGGGGTCAGATTTCATTACGTTGGAAGAAATATCCTTCTGGGTTCAGTTCCAAGTGGGAAAGAAGACACTGGAGACATGGAGGCTTGTTTGGAAAGATGGTGTCATGCCCATGGTGGAGACTGACTCTGAGGGAGAGGAGGAACAGCCGACAGGGAGTGGGAGTGTGGCTCCGGAGGTTGTGGAGAAGGCTGGGGAAGGGCAGAGGCCGGCTGAGCAGTCAGAGGAGGACCCAGGACCATCCCCTCTCCATCCTAGGGCACGCAGGGAGGAGAGGATAAGGGAGAGAGATGGTCTACTGGGGAGGAGAAGGCCTTGATCCCCTTCATGGGCTGCAGCTGTGACAACTGGATAAGAGGACGGACCTGCGTACAGGCGAGTGCTGGAAACAAAGCGTGGAAATAGCTCTAGTTTATTGTTCCTCTCTAAGTTTGGTGTCCTTCCCAGTGTGTGTTCTGATATCTGCGGGCGTCTTCAAGCCCTTATCTTGCCTGGTTTGTGTTGTTTTTTACTCTTTGTAATTTAAACTGCATTTTTAGTCTAAACGGCATTTCCTCCTTCTTGTAACTGTTTGTGGGGGAGGTTTTTTTTGTCTCCAGTCAAGGATATTTGGAGCTTGGAAGCAAAGTGAAGGAATAAAAGGGGCTTCACCTGGGGGATTTTTTTGTGTGACTTATGTTTATTTTGTATCCCACCCTGGGTCATCACAGATGGTTTAATGGTGGGCAGGACCACATGGCTTGGAGATCCAAAGGACGATCGCATGCTTCAAGAAGTTGGGTGAAGGAAAAGAAGAAGGAAGGAAGATGCTGAGAGACCTTTGGTTTTATGCCTTGAGATTTGAATTTGAGCTTGTATTCTGATTGGTGATAGGCTCCGGTGGCCTAGAGGTGGAACTCTCGCCTCACAATCGAGAGGCTGTGAGTTCAATCCTAGGCAGAGGCTAACCTTTGGAATAGACTCTCCTGCTCGAGCAGGGGGTTGGACTGGATGACCTCCAAGATCCCTTCCAGCTCTGTTATTCTATGATTCTATGGTCGTCAGACTCCCATGCAGAGGCAACTCTGTAGGCTGTCCCAAATCCCAGGCTCGGTTGAGCCTTGCTGGGTGATGATGATGTAATAACGAAAGGGCTTTGGGCAATTCCTATTATGGCTCTGCCTGGAGTAGATCTTTGCTATGTAGAATAGACTGGCCCAGGCCAGAGTAATGGCCCATTAGCAAAGGTGGCGGGGGGGGGGGGGGGTGAGTTTCTACCTCTTCGAGTTTCTACTTTTCTTTTTAGGGGAAATATTCTGCCTTTTTAGCCTATCCTAAAATATTTCATTTTTTCCCAGGAGAGGGGCGGGTTTTAACTTCCAACGGTCGTGGGGGGTGCAAAATCTCAGAAGGGGGGGCAAAGGTCTACCCCAGGTTGCTTGAAAACGGGAGTGATAAACTGGACAGATGGAAAGTTGGTACAAATTCGAGATGTAAACATGCCCTATGGAACTCGGCAAAGCAGGGATTGTCTCTCTCTCTCCCCCCGTCACCTCACCCCGCCTTTGAGGGGGCAGTTTATCTGACTAATGGTGCTTAAATTGCTCCCTTTATATGCAGAAGGTTAAAGGGGCTTAAGTTTAAGATGGTTAAATGGTTTAGACTGGGAAGAAGGCATGGAGAGGAGCTGCAAGTGTTGTAAAATCACGTTTGCAACAAAGGCCTGGACGCCGCAGCAGCCTCAGTGCAAAAACGTCTGGGTTGCCAAACTGTACAGCGAAGGCGTAAAGGGCAGTTTGTGTATAAGGTCAGGACTCGGGATCCACCCCATTGGACTGTGGCCCGTGTTTATTGCAGGCCAGAAAGCAGCTAAAAATAACGGGAATGTCTGTAGCTCAGGGTTGAGCTGGGGGGGGGGGCTTGGTGCTCTTTGAGCTGGGTGGTTTTCTTGCAGACATTTTATTACCCAACTAGGGAACATCATCAGTACTGGGAGAGGGGAAGGAGGAGGAGGAGGAATGTGAGGTTCTGCATGCTCTCTGAGCCTGGTTTCCTTGCAGACGTTTTATTACCCAACTAGGGAACATCATCAGTGCTAGAAGGGAGAAGAGGAAGAGGAGGAGGAGGATTGTGGGGTCCTGGATGCTCTCTGAGCTTGGTTGTTTCCTCGCAGACATTTCATGACCCAACTAGGTAACATCTTCAGTGTAAGGATGACAATCACTGGGGTAGGAAAAACATTCTTCTTAGTGATCTGTTACATCAAGATTCTTTTTCTTAGACAACTTTATTAGAGCTTTTAAACGAGCGAGAGAAAAATTAACAGGAACCAATAACTAAGATAGAAAAGAGGGGAGGAAAGCAAAGAACGAAAGAGGTTACAAAACCCAAAGTGCAGAAATAAACAGAAATATATTTAAAAAATTGATTTCCGACTGTTTTTCCACAACACATATAAATCTCAGCTTCCATTAACCTCTTGATCTAAATTTACAATATAGCTTTCATTTTTTTCTACTCTATCTAATCATCAAATGAATATTTTATAATTTCATTTTTTTTTTCCCCTGTTTCACAAGGGAAGTCCAAAAGGGGCTTCCAATCAGCATTAAAATGAATCTTTTTCTCTAATCCCGGTGTTTTCAGTGCTGGCCCCGTTACGACCTGTGGACTACAACTCCCAGAATTCCTGAGGCAGAATTTCCTGGCTGTCTCAAGAATTCTGGGAGTTGTAGTCCACAGATCGTATTGCCCACCCTGATCATTTAATCCAAGCTGTCAATTTTGCCATCTCTGCCATTTCCATTGATTTCACCACCCCTTCTTCCAATCGTAGACCATGTCAAATCTTTTCACCGTTATGCATATAAAGGTCTCGCAACTGTTATCCTATCTATAGAAAAGAAAAAATCTCCGTCGGGTTTTAATTTTTCCCCAACGATTTGTCCATTGGCCCTAAAAGGAATATCTTTGGTTTCCGTGGCAGATTCACTGGTCGTTTGTGGCTTCAAAGTTTTCAGTTCTTTGTCGCCAAAGTTCGTGGCTTTGGTGTCTCATATGAAAGAGAGATGTGTGTCTTCTGGCACATTGTACTTCAATTTATTCTCCTCAAACAGCTTGCAGAGAGCCTCCAGGTAGCTCTTATGCAGCTTGTCAACTTCATCTTGGCTGGGATTGTGCTTCTTCGTCACCTGAAGGGGTTTCCCCACTGGAGGGGGTCAAACAGGAGAAAAACAATTTAATTCAATTTAGTTGCATTTTATTTAATTTACCAGCTCGTTACCCATGCTTTGCTACGAAACTATGTGGCTGGGCTTAGTTTTGGGGGAGGAAAATAAGTGGGGGGAAATTCTGTGTCTGCCTAACAGCATCCATCGGTATTCATCTGGCTAGCATCCTGTCAGTGTGTGAGAGAGTCGAGGGCTGTTTGGAAACTGAAACAGTATTTGCTGCGTGAGTAAGAAGGAGAAAGCAAGGAGCCTGGGCGTGGCTTAGCTCAACTGTTCTGTACTAAAGCTGCTTGGTGCTGTGAAACTAAAATTGAAACCGAAACTGAAACTCCTCTGCTTGTGTTTTGCATTTGGAAGAGATTTCTTTTCAGGTGGGAAGGGGGAGTAGAACTCCTTAGCATCAGAGCGTGTTAATAATAATAATAATATAGGAAATACTCTAAATGCTCTGATGGTCATTTCAAAAAATCCTTTCTTAGTGAGCCCCTAGAAGCCAAGAGGAACATATGTGCCAAATTTCAAGTTTGTAGGCTTTACGGTTTGGGAGATTTTGTGATGACGCATGAGTGCTTTTTCACTTCTTTATATATAGAGATTATATTTTATTTTATTGACCTTATTTTATTTTTTTATTTTATTGACCTTATTTTATTTTGTCTTGCTTTCAGTGTACATAAAAGAAAAGATCCTCTTGGGTGTTAGCTATTCCTGCCAGCTTAGTCTCACTTGCAAATTTGGTAAGTTCCCCTTCTATTCCCTCATCTAAGTCGTTAATGAAGATATTGAAGAGTCCTGGCTGGGCCTAAGACGGAACCTTGTGGCACCCCACTGCTTACTTCCCTCCATTGTAGACTTAGACCCCTTAAGGACTACTCGTTGAGTACGGTTTGCCAGCCAGTTGCGAGTCCATCTAGTGGTGGTGATATCTCTTCCACTTTTTTCTAGCTTACTATAAAGTAGGTTGTGGTCTACTTTGTCGGAATCTAAATATATTATGTCCACAGTATTTCGCTGGTCTACTAATTTAGTCACTTCGGCATCTCAGTGGCTTCGCTGGTCTACTAATTTATCTTTGGCATCTCAGGGCTTGGGGAAACTCCTCTGACCTTACACCACCTAAGAACTGAGGGCTTACCCACGGTGTAGATTGGCTTCCGGTAGGGGATAACCCCAAAAGTGTATTGGAAGATCCCTCTGGCGTGAAAGAGGGGCAGAGAGATCCCCATGATCTTCTGCAAACATTCTTGCGTCCACCTCAGCCAAGACCCTTTGGGGTTTTCAACCTGGTCGAACAATTCGTTCTCTCCAAAGGAGAACACGGGAACGAGCGCCGTGCTAAGAAGAGAGAAAAAGAAAGGAGAGATGGAATCAAAACAGGTTGGGATACCCGAGGAAGGCTGAGTAGCATCAAAGGCAGGATAGTCCTCGAACATACGATCACAAGTGAGCCCCACACTTCCGCGCCTGCGCGAGGCAATCTGTTAAGCGAGTTTTGTGCCCATTTTACAAGTTTTCTTGCCATGGTCGTTAAGCGAATCAGCGTAGTTGTTAAGTGAACCTGGCTTCCTCGTTTGATTTTGCTCGTCAGGATGTCGCTGTCAGGGCTCCAACGAATCCACCCCCATTCAAATCATAAGCCTCTAGCTGCATCTCTCAGAATAAAAAAAAATTGATTTATTAAGAGTGGCCATGTTGGCGTTAGCTGGGCGCAGCCGACACTAAAGTGCATCATTCATTTCCTCCTTGACCCTGGTTTTCCTTCCTCCCCATCCCCCAGATGTATATTCTCCAATGGGACACATTCATAGCCGAGAGTCATCAATCATGCTCTCCAGTAATACTGTTGCACGCCAACAGCTTTGGGCTGCCAAAGTGATTATCTAAGGCCGTGATGGTAAACCTATGGCAGGCGAGCCCCAGGCAAACTTACCTCACGGTGCACGCACGCACCTCCCAGCTCATTTGGGGGCCTTTTTCAGCCTGCCAGAGGCTTGAGGGAAGCCTCTGCAGGCTTTGCGGGATGAAAAATAGGCCCGTTTTGTTCGGAAATGCTAGAAGTGACAAAACGGGCCCATTTTTCGGCCTGCAAAGACTGCAGAGGTGTCGTTCAAGCCTCTGGCAGGACGAAAAAGGCCTCAAATGGGCCGAAAATCAGCTGGCAGGCGCAGTGCAAGTAAGGGGGCGGCAGGGGGGGAATCACACATGCATGCGCAAGGGGCAGAGGGGCCATGCACATTGCCTTCTGGGTGCTGGCACGCGAGCACACGAGCGCAAGCATGCACGCAATTGTTGGCACAGGAACCCAAAAAGGTTAGCCACCACTACACTGCTTTCCCCCATTCCCTTTCTGCCGGCAACTAAAAAGACCAAAGGAGTATTATTATTTTTTTAGTTGACAGTCACAAACGGGGATCATGTGACCCCGGTGGCACTGGGAAGGTCATTAATATGAAGTCCTTGGCGAAGTGTCTGAATTTTGACCATGTGACCATGGAGGGGGAATACTGCCATGGTCGTAAGTGTGAAAAACAGCCGTCAGTCCCTTTTTTTTTCAGCACTGTTGTAACTTGGAACAATCCCTAAATGAACGGTCGTAAGCCAAGGACCGTCTGTAATGGATTCAGGCGGTGTTTCTTCTTCTTACAAGCCAAGTCAATGGGGGGGGTGCAGCTGGGTTCTCTTAACGACCACGTGATTCGCTTAACAATGTCGGCGATTCGCTTAGCAACCCTGGCCAAAAAGGTCGTAAAACGGGACACAGAGCTCACTCAACCACTGTCCCGCTTGGCAATGGAGCGTCGAGGGTCCATTGCGGCCATAAGCTGAGGACCTCCTGTACAAGAAGATCAGGAGGAGTTGTCCCTACTCACCCATTCTCTATGGCCAGCCGAACGAAGCCCTTCCGATTCTTCAACAAGAGGGTGTATGCGCCGGGGCGGGCGTCCAGGGCTTCCTGCGCCCCTCCCACAGCGATGATCACGATATTCCCGCCTTCCTTCTTCCTCAAGAGATAGGAACCGGATTCCTTGTCGGAGGGAATTAAACCTGGGTGAAGCAAAGCAGGAAAAAGAAGAAACGTGAAAGCCCCCGTGCAAAACAAGACAAAACAATTTAGCCTTAGCGGAGAATAACAAAATAACAGAGCTGGAAGAGATCTTGGAGGTAGAATAGGATAAGATATAGGAGATAGGAAATAGGAAATAACGGAAAATAGAAAATAGAATAGAAGAAAAGAATTAGGAATAGAGTAGAGTAGAGTAGAGTAGAGTAGAGTAGAGTAGAGTAGAGTAGAACAGAGTAGAGTAGAGTAGAATGGAGTGGAGTAGAGCAGAGGAGAATAGAATAGAATAGAATAGAATAGAATAGAATAGAATAGAATAGAATAGAATAGAATAGAATAGAATAGAAT